GGAGCCCCAGCCCAGCTCAGCACCTTGCGAGGACGGAGCCCGCCAGCGACGCTGCGAGAACTCAGAGCTACGAGACCTCTGCTCCCCGTCAGCCACAGCCAGGGCTCGAGCCCAGGGACAGCTGGGGACGAGAAACCAAGAGGCAGGATTTGACTCTGGCGGGTGGTGCATTAAATGATGGGCATTTTGCAGGGTTCAATTAATGGCACGGGGTTAGGAGTGTGTGTTACCGGCCAGCTAGGCTCTCCAAAGCATCTCTTCTGTTGCCTTCTCCCACTGAAAATGCCACTTCACTTGCAAATAAGCAGGAGACGGGAGGGGAGGGAAAAGGAAATGATTAAATCAAGCATAAAGTAAGCAGGAAAGAAACAAACCACAAGCGAAATCCAGCGTTCTCTAAAAATCCGGTTTATTCATTAGAATTCAGCGAAAGGAACATTCATTTTAAAACACAATCAATACATTAAAAAGTTTAAAGGACTAGTAGCAACGAGACCAGAAAGAAAAGGAAAAAAAAAAAAAACAAAACCAAAATAAAATAAAATAAAAAAAATATTCTGACAATTCAGTCACCTGGGAGGAGCTGCCTCCGCTCCCAGGGCGCCGGCAGGCCAGCTCCGCAGCGGGACACAGAGGGGAAGCACAGGGGCACCCAGGACAAGCACTAGTTCTTATTTTTTTCTTTAGAACCGAGAGGCTTTTCTGGGTTTTAATTTATCACTTCACCCAAGCGTAGCTCCTAGGATGACTCCATACTGGCAGAGCAGGGAGCCCCAGCTGGAGAGGAGGGAGCTGCAACATTAAAAGGCAGGGGGGAATGTGAAACGCGGCGCGGGTCCAAGCGCCCCGGGAATGTTTGCTGAGCGACCTGCCCACCCAGTCCCCATGCTGGGAACGGGGAAAACCCATTTAAGAAAAATTTTAAAAAGCACCGTTAGGTGAAGAGCTATTTAAAAGACACAAAAATCTATGCAGAGCCAAATGTCTCAGCAGCAGTTGCCATCCCCGCTGGCGGAGGGGGAGGAAAGAAGGGGAAAAAAATTGCTTTTGGCTGTAATCTTTTAGCTTTTCAGCATTTAATTTTCTTTTAGCACGTCACTGTTTTGACGCTGTTCTTGTCTGCTCAGTTAATCACTGTGGCCTTCTGCAGAGAAGTTATTTCAGCCCTTACACCCCGCGCAGGGTTGCGAACTCTGCAGGGGCACAACTCCTACAGAGTCAAGCAAAGAAAGCAGCATATTCATTCAGCTAAATAAAAAACAAAAGCCAGAAGAGCCACGTTAGCTAGTCTGTTGGGTCTTAGCTTACCAGAAGCTCTCCTTGCATTTCCGATCCCCAAATTCAAGGCAGGATTATTCCAGGAAGATGCTCTATCGATGCTGGCAATGCGAGCGGCACAGGGCTGGGGAGGAGGAGAGGGTGGAAAGCCCCGGTGATCCCGTGGCAGACCCCAGGATTATTTAAATACCAAGCCTCAGACATGGCCAGGGAGCACCAAGGGGAGAGGAAATTCATCACCGGTTTCAAGAGCATCGCCACACCCCAACCAACAGCACCTCCTGCCTGGGGATTTAAGAAAAGTCCCAATTTTGAGGAAAATAACTTCAGCACGCAGAAGGGAAAAAGCCCCAGCTGAAATCTGCAGCTTTCTAGCTCAAAGACGGTCAACAACACCTCCAGGGAGAAATCACCAAAGCCCACAAATTCGGAAGAAATACAAAGCTTAGGGGAAAAAAAAAAAAAAAATAACGGTTGGCGAGCGTGCCGCAGCAGGCGTTAAAACAAAGAGGTGCCAGCGGTGTGTGCAAAGAGCCAGCGTGTGCACCGGCAGCGGGCCGGCTGCTGGGATCCCGAGCTGGCCCTGGGTACAAGGTGGAACGGAACGGTACAGGGGGGGCACGAGGAGCGAGGAGGGTTTCCTCGCATTGCACGGGCAGTGGCAGCAGCAGCAATCATTGCCTTTTCTCCGTCGGGAACGGTAAACCACACCACTTTAAAAAGACAACGCACACGAGTGAAAAGAACAGTCCATAAAATTTCCCGCCCCCCCACCCCCACCCCCCATCAATATAAAATGCAAAACTATACAAAAATAGATCAAATCGACCGTTTTCTTATGTGTATAAAAGCAAACAAACAAACAAACAAAAAAAAAAAAAAAACAAACCCCAAAGTCCCCAAAATGCAATACAGAATTACTTGGTAGACTGACCCAAATGTCAGTGGTTTCAGCGCAAGTTAACAGCCATCATTCATCAGTTCGAGGCAAAACCTCCCCTGGAAGGGACGTTTTCCGGCGAGTTCCCCCCAGGGGAGTTTTTCCTTATTATCTTGGCAAGACAATCTGCTATTCCTGACTTTTATTTTTGGTTCGGAAGCCCTTTTTCATAAATAGCCTCAATTACCACTCTCAAATTTGAGTTCCTCGGGTAAGGCAGTATTTGACTAACAGCTTGATCCAGATCAAGACCAGAAGATCTGTTCCTATTTATCCCGGGGCAGACGGTATTTTCGGAAGAGCAGCACATCAGGCAGTGAAATCCAATCTCTCTACAGCACTGATAATTTACAGGCTGGGTTAGCCCCTTGAAAATTCTTATTTCTTTGGGTTAATGGGGCAGAATATGCCAATAATCCAGCAAATTAGCTCCAAAAACGCTTTTAGAAAACTCATTTTCAATCAATAGATACTTGCTTCATTTACTTCACATCAAATTAAGAGGAGAAACCTTTGGTATAAAGTCAGATTATCAAGTCTTGGCTGTATTGCTTTCACACATTCGAGTCGAGAAGCTGTTTTCACTAAACCTTTCCGTCACGTACCTACAACCAAAAGGATTATTCCTAGAGACATGCATTTGCAACTGAACATTCATTTTAGCACCGAGACGCTTCCACACCTCACCAAGACTTTGGCAAAGGCCGCACCAGGTCTAAACAAAACGCTACGCAAAAGCCCCTTAAACCCGCGAGATGCCTTTGGTGACACGCTAAAATAAAGTAGTAATAAAAAAACCAAAAAAAAAACAAAAAAACCCCAACAAAATACAAACAGTCAGAGGCTGCTGCTCAGGCCAAGCAATGTCTCTGGTGTCGCCAGCAGTATTTGCTTGTGGTTTTTATTTGGTGAGTGGCGGCGAGATGTGCAGAGCCAGGGCATGAGCCTGTCCTTGCTCCCAGCGAGAGGGGAGCCCGTTCCAATTAGGCAACAGTCGTTAGCAGACGCTCAGGCGCTGTGCTAACGAAGGGAGGCTGCTCTCACCACCTCAGAGGTGAGGGGACCTTGCACGGGCCGATCGCGTTCTCCTCTCCAGGGCGGGGATGCCGAGCAGGAGCGGCAGCAAGAGCCGGGTTTGGCCCCCCCCCAAAATCCTCCCCCGGTGCACGGAGGGATGGGAGAAAATAAACGTGGCACAGCAGGTTCCTCCCTGCAGCAGCACGGGCAGGAAAATACTGAAAAATTAAGGTTTAAGCCCACGGATACACAGATGGGTCTACTCTAGCCTCAGCAGTCTGCTTAGGAAAGGGAAAAAAAAACCCACATAAATAAGTCGAACCGTGGGTGAGCAAAGCCTGGCTTTGCCTTTCCCTGCTCTTTCACAGATCTATAAGGACAGGGTAGCAGGGAGTCTCTTCCCAAAAAGAAATATCAGGACCTCGTTCTGCTTGGGGAGAGGGGGGAAGAAAACCAAACCCAAAGCAGCCGCTTGTGCCTGTAACGACAGCGATGCGGGGAGGTGCCGCCGTTCCCAAGCGGAGCCGCGTCCGCGCGGGGCTGCGGGACCGGAGAGCAGGAGCGGGGCCGGGCGCCGCGGGCAGGGGCAGCAGGAAAAAAGAGTTGGGGGTGGGCAGAGCTGCCCCTTGCCCCGCACTTCGCTCCAGAGGTGGGTGAAAACTCTGATATTTCCAGTTTGTGAATTTTTTTTTTTTTTTTTTTTTTTGTTTGTTTGTTTTAATGCTACAAATTCTGCTGCAAAGAAAAGCAGAAAAGGGGCCCCTCGGGGCGGGAAGAAGCAAAAATCATCATCAGTGACTGAATTAAAATCAGAATACAGAGCTTGGACAGAAGGAGGAAGAGGCTTCGTAAGGGAGGTTTGGTTTAGAGACGACGTGTTTGAGATCACAGAGGACATGGGAGACGCCTCGAGGACCAACGGCCTGAAATAGATGTTTCCAGGAGCCTGTACAATGTCCTCAGACAAAGTCTGTCTCCTTAGCTCGTGTCCCTCCTCCGTGCTCCTTCAAAGAGGAAAAAGAAATCCAAAACCTGCAGCAACCTCCAGCTTTTTTGTTCCCTCCAGTTAGGAGGAAGAAGTCGTGAAGCCTAATTTAGGCTGCATTACGTCTTGTATTCCAATTAACAGAATACTTCCCTCGTATGAGTTCATGCAAAGAAAACAACCGTAAAATAATTAAAATAAAAACAAACAAACCAACCAAAAAACACAAACAACCCACAAAACTTCCATCTGAAGAAAGTAAGAGCATCTGCAACTTCGCAGCTACAGGCACGATGCAAATTTAGCTTATTCTGAAGACCTCACCCGTGTGCCCGTGGGCCGGGAGAGGCGAGGAACGTGGGACAAAGCACGGGAAAGGTTTCAACCAGGAATTACACACTGGGAAGACAGACCACGACAAAGGAAGGACCAACACTTTGTTCTTAAAAGGGACACCATCGACAAGACATCTCTCCGAGCGCGGTATCTTTGAGCCAATTAAAACTAGACCTGGAAAAGGTTATCGGCACGCACACAAAAGTTCCTGCTTTCCTTTGGGGCAAGGGGAAAAAAAAAAAAAAAAAAAATATAAAAAGTGTAACTGCAAAGTTCCCCCTTCAACTGACTCGCCTCCCATCCTCGCTCTGGAAATAACTGGCATCCTTCCTCCCAGCCTTCCCAAATGAAGACCGAGATGGAAGATGTTCAAAGTGAGTCTGAACCAAAACATTTCACTGCGGAAATAAAAAAAAAAAACATTTCTCTCAAGTTTCCCCCAAAGCTTGCTCCCCCCCCCCAGCTCCAATCCTGCAGAAAAAAACCAAACCCAAACCTGCCGGGGGGGGGGGGGGGGGAGTTGCTACTGCACTTGGCGTTCCGAGAGCGTGGCGGCTCACCCTGGAAAACACCAAAGCGCCTCCGAACCCCGGCAGAGCCTCCGCAGCAGCGAGGCCGCGCGCCCCGGCCGCGGGAGAGGAGCTCATCCTTACCAGCCCAGGTCTAAACTCAGGTCACTCACAAACCGCTCGTTAAGTTTTATTTTCTCCCTCCCCCGCCCTTCGCAACCCTTCTCCTGCCTTATCCCCCCCCCCCGGTGCCGGCGCGGTTATTCGGCTTCGGCGACGCTCAGGGCAGCGCCCCGGCAGCCGGCCGGCAGCGCGTGGCCGGGGGGGGCTCTGTTTTTCAGGGGTTCTCCGCAGCACTCCAGGCTTTTTGGGGCGTCGGGGCTGCCGCTGGGCTGCTGAGGCACGCCCTGGGCGACGCCCACGGGTTTGCACTTGGCGCGTTTCTCCGGGGAGCGAGAGAAACTAAAGCTGGGGGGCAGCTCGGGCTCCGTTTCTCCCGCGGGTAACAAGCGGGTCAGCTTTTTGGCGGCGACTTCTCCCTGGTACCTGTAGGCACCGGGCGCCTCGCGGGGCCGCCTCGCCTCGGTCTGCAGCGGTAAATTGGAGGGTCGGAGCGGGTGAGTGTTCAGCTCCGGCTCTTGGGGCCGCCTGTCCGGGGTCTCTCCGGCGACGTTCCGGGAAAGAGAAAGGAAAGGGGACACGGTGCCCGGCTGCTCCGACAGCTCCCAGGCACTCTCCATCGCGGCGGCCGGAGGGAAACCCCAGTGCTTCGCCCCCCCGGCAGCCGCGTCGGTGCCGTGCTGGAGGCGCTGCAAGCCCAGCCAGCTCAACCCGCCATCGGGCGCCACCAGCTCGCCTTCCTCCTTGCTCCTGCTCCTCCTCGAGTCCTTTTTGCCGCCCTCCCGCTTCGAGCGGAGCTGGCCCGGCTGAGGGCCACTCTTGGTGAGCGGCGAGTCGGCCAGCTCGAACTCCAGGCTCTCCGTGTCAAGGGACCGACTCCTCCGGGCGATGGAGAGCGGTGCTGGCATGGAGGGGCTCAGCCCGTGGAGGCGGAGGTGGCGGGGCAGGCTGGCAACACCCCAGTTGCAGCTCTGGAAGGAGCCCGGGGAGTACCCCGGGGACATTCTCTCGTCACATTCGGCCAACGACTCTTTCCGCCCGTAGCCATCATCAAAGGCCTCGGCAATGTCCTCGCCGGCGTTCATCTCGGGATGCCGCTCGCACTCCCCTTCTCCTTCCTGCTCCACATCGACGACGTCGAAGGTGACCATGGTGGGGAGGGCAGGGAGGTTCTGGGTGAAGGAAGAGCCGGAGGCAGAGCTCCCCAGACTTTCGGAGAGGCTGGAGAAGAGGGTCCCGCTGCTGGCAAACTCCACCAGCGCCTGCGAGAAGCTCACAGCATGCTCGGGCTCGGGCTCGCTGCCCGCTTGGGGCTCGCCGGTGGGGGCCTCCGCTCCGCCACCGCGCTCGGGCTCCGGGAGCCCGTAGCCGGGGAACATCCCTGCCTTGGCTGGGGCTACGCCGCCGTGGACAGAGCCCCCGAACAACCCACAATCCGGGTCCGAGTCGAACGCCGGGTTGTTCTTCGTGAGCTGGATAAGGCAACTTCCTTGGGCTTTTTGGCTGCTGTAACAGTTTTCTGGGCACAGAGTCCCTGGAAAATCCCTCCACTCTGGATTTTCAGCTCTAGCCACCAAACCCCCACTATTCACACCCCTGTTTGGGGCGAGCGAGGCCACCTGCTCACTACCAAGGCCACTCTGATTCTTGCCAGTTGAGCTGGCTGCTCTAGTTTTACATTCAACACACTGCTTTTCCCGGGGACACTTCTCCTTGCCGGGAACATCAAGTCGCTTCAAGACCGGTTCCCTCTGCAGCTCCCAGTAGAGCAGCTCTTTCTGAATGGCCGCCAGCCGCTCTTCTTCCGTTTCCATCACCCCTCTTTTCTGATCCATCATCTGGATCAGGCTCTTCTCAGCAGGGAGACAGAAGTCCAAGAAGTAGCTGAAGATCCCCGGGCGTGAGATTTTGCTCTCAAACAGGGATTCCTCCCCGTGAGAGGGACTCATCAGCGCATCAAACTCATAAAGTGCATCACCGCTGTAACTGTCTCTGGGAAGACGGTCCTTCTTGATCTCGCTGAGCCCATCTCCAGCTTCATCTTCTGGCCCCGGCGTGGTGGAGTCGTAATAACCCTCGTCGCTGTTGGGGGCTGACTCTTGCTGGTCACTCTGTGGCGTCAGGAGGTCAACGCCGTCCATCGTGTCCCCCACGTAGGGGTGGGTTTCCGCCTCGTGCAAGGCGCGTGTCTCCAAACTGCTACTCGACACCCGGGCTCCGTAGCTCCTGTCCCCCGCCGCGTTGCCGTTCCATATCTGGTGGAGGTACTCCTCCGCCTCCTCGGGTATGGCCATCTCCTCCCCACCGCCCTGGTAGGTGACCAGGCAGGAGCCCCGTTTCGTAGCGTCCCGGCTGCGCTCCACAGAGATGGTGCTCTCGGCGATGTCAGGCTCGGCGATGTCATCTCCACACCCCGTCAGGGAATCGAAGCTCTTCAGCGACGTGACGTCTCCTAACATGATGCTTAGCAGGTCCCCGGAGTGCAGGCAGGGCGGGTCGTTGTCCACCAAGTCCGGATGAAAGGCCAGCACCAGATCGCCACGGTCGAACCCCGCGCAGTCGACAGCGTCGGCCTCCGATTTCGCATCCAGAGCGTCCCTCTTCCCCGGCACCGCCACCGCGTCGCCCTCGGAGCTGCCTCCGTCGGCCGTGAGGCAGCCGAGCTCGGCAGCCTCGCCGCCGGCGCCCGCCGCGCGCTCATCCTCCGAGCTCCCCGGGCAGGCGGCAGCGAGAGGGACCGGCCCCGGCCCCCTTCCCTCCGCGGCCCCTCGGCTCTCCGCTCCCACACCAGGAGCTTTGCTGGCCTCCTCCGACCCCCCGGTCCACTCGGGGAGCTCTGCCTTCTCACACTCAGCAACCTTGCTCTTCCGGTGACGCCGGATGCTGTTAAAAAACCCTTTCAGGCCTTTTTTGGGTCTGGGGAAGGAGGACTTCTCTCCGCTGGGCTTTTTCTCGCAGCCCTCCATACTCCCAGGTGGAGAGCCGTCTTGCTGGCCGAAATCAAGCTTGGCGCTGGTGTCTATGGGCAAGTGAGCGCTTTGGGAGCTGGGCAAAGGGCCGGGATGGGAGTCCCTGCTCCCCTCCGAAGGGCTCTCCAGCTGCGCCCCGCCGCCCTTGTCGTGCGCAGCACCGCTGAGCCCGTCGTGGGTCTTACATTTAACGAGGCCCTTCTTCGAGGCGACTTTCCCCTGCCCTTTGCTTCTGCCTCCAAAGAAACTGGGCAGCGTACAGATGCTCCTCTTCCCTCCGAAGAGTTTGAAAGCAGTTTTTTTCAGCTTGCCGGGGGGCGGCGGCTGCGGTTCCGCAGCCGCGACGGAGGCGTTGCCGGGCTCGGGCAGCCGGTCGCCGTTCTCCTCCCGCTGCCCGCAGGCCACCGGTTGCGACCTGGTGCGGGCGAGCTCCTCCGGGCAGCCCGTTTCCATGGCAGGAGGTCGGTTCGGGTGCATCTAGCTGGAAACGATGACTTTGGTAGCAGAGTCCTCTTCCGGGCGCCGCGACGGAAGCACGACAGCGGAGCTAAAGCAAAGAGAAAAGGGGAGAGAGGTGAGGAGACGGCGGCGGAGGGTGCGAAGCCACAGGCAGAGGTGTCACGAGGCGAAGAGCTCCATCCCCACCCGGAACGTGAGCTGCAAAAGCCTCCGGCGGCCGCTCAGCTCCTTAAAGCCAGGTACAAAAAACGTCGCGATGCTCGAATTTACCAGTTTGCAAGTGCAGGAAAACCACGTGCCTCCATCCAGCAGCGTCCCCGCTGCCGGGGGGCCAGGCAGGTCTGACCCCTGAACCACCTCACCCCAACCCCTGCGGCTTCCCGGCCGTTGTTTTTAAACTCACCCGTCCAGCGAGAAAGAATTGCATTAAAAACATCCACTACGAACCACCCTGATCAGATTATCTCCGCAGCAGAGAGGGAGGTTTTAAATTTGATCCTGGCTTGACGTCGCTAAAAGGGAAAACTAAAATCATAGCGTTTCTTTTGCAGAGGTGAGGTTGGAGACAGTAAATACAATAAAAATTGTAACGCGCTGCCGAGCTGTAACGCCCGAGGTCTAGCTCTTACTGGTGTGAGGCTGAAGCTTTCCGTAGTGTTTAGCCAGAGATCCCAAATCAAAAATACACCCAGATGACGGCCCCTGGCTCCTACAACCCAAGAGCAAACCTGCAATTTAAGATTTATTTTTTTCCCCTCAAGTCTGGGGAAGGTCGCAGCGTTGCTTTGCCTCTAAAATTAACGATAACCCCCTGGCAACAAACTGGGCTTTGCCAGGCCAGCCCAGGAGCTTTTCTGGAGTTCTAAATGTTTCCAAAGCCTCTCAGGAGCATCGCTGGGCTTTCCGGAGCCTCTCTGCGGGGATCTGGTTAGATGGGCCTGAAAGGAACTCACACACACGCATCTGCACACACGGGCTGCTGAAAAAGTAGCGGGCGGGTGTGTGAAATGAAAGGGGAAGCAGATTTCAAAAATTCAAGGCGAAAATTATTTCGCTCCAGCTCCGCATCAGCCCTGGCATCAACAGACACGGTTAGTTGTAGGTGCTGGAAAAATCAAGCCACTGAGGGCAAACACCGCTATCAATGAAACATGAAAACAGGGGTTTTGTCAAAAAAAAAAAAAAAAACCAAGGAGAGAACCTAACGCAATAAGAAAAGGCAGCGTTTCAGCCACACTCAGCTCCCTCGGGGCGGCCAAGGGCAGATTTCGGGGTACTGGGGGAAGCGGGTGGTCCCACGGCTGGCCCTCGGGATGGGGGCGAGGAGGGCAAGTCCAGAGGGGAGCTGGTGGCCCTGGAAAGGGGAGTGGTGGCCGTGGAAGGGGAGCTCGTGGCCCTGCAAGGGGAGCCGGTGGCCCTGGAAGGGGAGTGGTGGCGCTCGAAAGGGGAGTTGGTGGCCCTGGAAGGGGAGCTGGTGGCCCTGGAAGGGGAGTGGTGGCCCTGGAAGGGGAGCTGGTGGCCCTGGAAGGGGAGTGGTGGCCCTGGAAGGGGAGCTGGTGGCCCCGGCCTCCGCCCGGCCAGAGGGAAGGCGGCAGAGGCCTCGGCTCTTCCCCCCCCTCCCCGTCGTCGCTCGCCTTTCTCTCCGCCCGGCTCGCCAAACTCGGGCTCAGCATCCACGGAACCGCGCGGCCACCCCAGCGTCGGGGCGGGCGAAGGGAGCGGGAAGGGCCCGGCCCGGCGGCCGAAACCCCCGGGGGAGCCTCGCCCGCCCCCCCCCCCCCGCGCCCTGCCCGGCACTTACCGGCGGCGGCAGCCCCGGGGGGGGGGGGGGGGGGCCGGGCCAGCCCAGGCCGCCGGCAAGTGGCCGCCGGGGCAGCGGGTCCGCCCGGCGCGGCGAGGAGGGGCGGGGCCTGTGACGGGGAGGGGGCGGGGCCTCCGCGGCGGGGGGCCCGTGACGGAGGGGGCGTGGCCTCCGCGATCGCCGTGCCGGGAGGGGGCGTGGCCGAGACGGGGTCTCTGTGACGGAAGGGGGGGCGTGGTCTCCTCCCGACGGGGGCGCGGCCGCTGTGACGGCGAGTGGGGGGATGTGACGCAAGAACGGGGTGGGGGTGGGGGGGCGCGGGGCGGGGCCTGGGCTGCGTGACGCTGTGCGCCGCGGGTGGGGCGTGACAATGCGCGTGGCGGCCTGACGCCCGTGGGGTGTGAGTGTCTTGTTTTTTGGGGGGGGGGGGGGGGGAGTGGGGGGGGGTGTGGAGCGCTGACATCACGCCGCGGGGGGTCTGTGAGGTGTGCGGCCCCCACCCGCGTGACAGCGCGAGCGCGCGTGTGTGCCGGCGCCACGCCACGCGCACGTCGCTTTTACTGCGGGTCACACACACGCCCCCCATCCCAGCACCCCCCCTTCCTCATTTTGCGGGAACCCAGATCCCCAAACCCCCACGGTCCACGTAGGGACTTCCCCCCCACACCCCCACCCCACGTGGAAGCCCCCACGACCCCGAAATTCAAGGAAACGCCTTAAAAACCAGGGGGAAGAAGAGAGGAGCGGCCGGCCGGAGCCCTTTTAGGGCTATTCCTCCCCAGATGAGGGGGTTTCAGTCCCTGCAGAGCAATTCCCGACGCTTTTCCCCAGGCTCATGCAAAGCCCCAGCGCTCCCCCCGGGGGGATGCCCCACAGCCTAATTAATAGATGCTGATTAATAGATTTCCACAACCTTTGAAACGAACCCATAAATAACGCCAAAAGGTGCCTGGGGGGGGGGGTTGCAAAATTCAATCCTGGAACCTCCTGAAGGCCGCTTGCCTCCGCCCTGGCTGCGCTAAGGGGAGCGGGGAGGACACTAAACCATATTTTAGCCCCAAAACGTCCCCAAAGCGGGCCAGCCGAGGAGCAGCGGGGCTTATCCGTCAGCTCCTGGCTGTGGGAAGAGCCAGGGAGGCTCTTCCAGTGGCCACCAGTGAGGGCGAGCCCCGATGGCCCCGGCCCTGGTCACCAGAGCCGGAGGGATGGAGAGACCCGGGGAAGGCGGGAACGGCGGCCGGGCTGCCTCACGCCAGGCTCAGCCTGAAATCCCTTCCCCTCCCTGCTCCAAACGCCGGCTGGGCTGCCACGCTCCGCTCCATAAAGGGTATTTCACCCAACGGGTCACCATAGTTTAATAATAGTAGCAACATTTTTAATTAAAAAAAAAAAAAAAAAAAAACCAAACCAAAAAACTGAAACCTGGCCAATCACAAAAGACCCCCTCAGCTCTAACATGCCCCAGTTCTGAGGTAAAATGATGTTTAGAGAGAGCTGGAGTGGGAAAATGGGATTGGGGGGACTCTGGATAGCGACCCTATCCCCCCCGTCCTCGGGAGCACCCAAAGTGGGGAGCAGGCCCGTGGAAACCTCTCTGGGAAAGTGGGTTCAGAGGCAGCTGAGGCCACGCCGTGAGGAAAACCCACAGGCGCAAAGCCTGGTCGTGCCTCCCTCCCGCTCTGCTCCAGGAGGGGAGGAGGTAAAAGCAGCTTTTGCTCCTCTCCCTCTGCCCTCCACCCCTTTTCCCAGTCCCTTCTCCAACCGGTATCAATTAAAGGTGTAAAAACCTTCAGTAAAGAGGGTTGAAAGCCAAACCCAGCTAACTGAGATCACCGGGATGTGGAGCAGGAGCTGAAGTCTCCTCGGTTTTCTCCCCGCCCTTCCCATATTTTTTTCCCCCCGGGGGTTGCTTTATGGAGACACCTCGGAAGCAAGAATGACGTTGCGGCCACAAACCCGCGGCGGTTTCGCCCTGCGCGGACGTCGGGGCGGCTTTTCGTGGGGTGGGCCGGGCGTCACGGCTGGTGTCGGAGGTAGTTTGCCAGGACCGCCGGGATCTCCAGCTCGCCGAGGGCGGGCGGGCGGCCAGCCTGCTTCAGGAGACGTCTCATCGCCAGCCTGGACTGAGCCATCAAGGACCTGGGATGCGCTGCGTAAGGAGAGGGAGGAAAAATGAGGCGGTCGCCTTCAAGACACACAACCCCGGTGTCCTCCGAGCTGAGCGTTATCCCAGGGACATCGATAGACCAAAACAAAAAGTCTGTGCTAAGCCTGGTGACGCTGCGTATTCAGCCAGCAGCTTTGCAGCGTGCCTTTCGCCGAAGCCGGGCATCCAGAGGTGAAATCCACCACCGTCATATGGAAATTAGTGCAGTTCTTCTGGACGTAGTACAGGAGAGCCAAAGTTGAGCAGCAGAAAGGAGAAGAATGGCAAAAAGCAGGCTTTTAACCCAACATATTTATATCAAGTGGAAAAACCAGGCGAATGGAAATCCCCGCGTGCTCTAGACCAGCACTGACAGGCAAGGACCCTCAATGAAAGCAGCTTATTAAACAAGCATCTAGAAATAGTCATGAAAAGCAGATACTGCGGTGGGTCCATGAGGGAAGACACCCATATTAATGTACGTGGTAGCTGCACCGCGTCACACCCCAGACCCAAAACAAGGTAACCTGCCTCCAGCCACAGCCAGCGGTGGAAACTGGGGATACTGGGTGGATATTTATTAGAAACAAGACCTCCCATGGCACTCGCCTCCAAATCCCAGCAATCTGTTTCAGGAGTTTCCTGTGGTAGCATGTGTACCTAAGCCATCCAGATTTAAACACTGGTGGTGGACCTATTCTCCATAAACTTGTGACGTCCTTCTCCTGCTGTGGTCAGTATTGGAGACTTGGGGTTTTGGGCCTGAACACAGCAATCACTGGGGGAGAGGGAGGAATAAGAGTTCAGAGTAAAGCAGTGATAATACTCAGGAGTTTAAGACTAGAGACACCCGTGCAGTCAAGGGATGCTGCAAAGGGAGGTGAAGCTTGTAGGAAAGCCTGGGTGAGGCTAATGGGAAGCAGAGATAAAGGGAAGGGGAAACCGAAGCAACTTGCACAGAAATAAGCAAAATTACTGCTCGTTTCCAGCCCCGGGGCCACGCACACAGATTACCTCTCGCCTGCAGCAGCAGCTCCAGGCCCTCGCTGCGGGTTGTCCTCTCGTCTACCGTGACGTTGGGCAAGTACACGTTGGCTCCAAAGTCAATGAGCAGCTTGATGAACTTGCTCCTGCAGCCGTGCCTCAGGCAGGTTTCCAGCAGAGTCTTGGGCTCCTTGATCTGGGCAATCACCCTCTCCTCGGTGCAGTTATAGTCGGGGTCGGCACCGTATAGCAACAGCATCTTAAAGCACTCCAGGTGCCCGTACGCGGCGGCGAGGTAGAGGGGACCGGAACAAGCCACCGAGTTGGCAGCCCACTCGGGCAGCCTCGCTTGAACGTTGGCTTCCGCGCCGTGGTCCAGGAGCTGCTGCAGGATGTCCACGTTCCCATCCCTCGCGGCGATGAGCAGCGGCGAGCAGTTGTTGTAGATGCTGCCGCCGGGGCTGGCCCCCGCGTCCAGGAGGACCTTCACGCATTCCCGGTGCCCGTTGCTGACCGCCATGAAGAGAGGGGTTTGAGCCTTCACGTCCAGGCTGTCCACCTCGGCCCCGTGAGCCAAGAGGACCTTGACACTCCTGACGCGGCCCCACGTGGCAGCCAGGCGCAGCGGGGTGCTGGGTACCCCCCAGCCGCTCCTGCGGTTGAGGAACCTCTTGTACTTGTCTTGGGATAAGAGGTTATTTAGGGTTTCGTAATCATCCTCAGACACGGCTCGGTTCAGCTCCTCGCTTTCCCCGTTGTCGTCTTCATCTTCTCTGGGCTGGAGCATGGAGAACATTTTAGTGATATCCATTAAGCTCATTTTTTGTGGTCTGCCTCCCATGTACCTTTTTCATCATAAAAGGTAAAGCCAAAGATCTACGGGACAACAAAACCAGCACCAGCACTGGGTTAGAACCAGCTCCCTGACACCAACACCACCTTTTATTATTGTATACACAATTTAAGGAATATTCTCAAAAAAAAAAAAAAAAAAAAAAAAGACAAATAACATTGGATTATGATACTGATGATACACTTACCGCCCTACCACCACAGGTGAGGAGCTCCTCGCCAGTGAAAGGCTAAGGCAAAGACAGAGGTCATTGCTGTAGCACATACGTGGGTCACCTCCCCTTAAAATGCTGCCATCAAGAAGGGGCTGAGATAAATGAATCTGGTGTTGGAGTACAAATGCTGCATGGGGGGAGCTCACAGGCATTTAGTTTATCTTTTAAAATTACTTAATGCTGTACTGCTAGCTGCTGAGGGGGTAAAGGGTATGAGACTACTCATGAGATACTCAAACCTTGAGCTCAGGGGGGCTTCTGGGTGGCCACAGGCTCTTACAAGGACTTTGCGCCCCACTGGTGGATGAAGCCGCCCATTTTCCCAAAACCCTCAGAAATCACCCCATCCAGCTGTTCTCTGGGGGAGCCACTGAGCAAAGAGCACGTTGGGAAATAGCAGGAATCAAATCTGCTTCGTATCGGCCAAGGCTTCTGCTGGAAGCCTGACCAGCAACTGCACTTCCAAGTATTTTGGGACCCACAGAAAACTTGGAGGAATTTTAATTTAGAAGCCGGCAGCACCGCAAAGTGTTTACACCCTGCCAGCGTTTAAAGGGATTGGATTTCAAAATAGGAGATGAAGTAAATGTGAAAGAGGCTGGTTTGATTAAGGACTTGGAGCATCACCCTTCCTGAAACGACGTTGGGCAGGCGCTTGGTGCAGGATTTGGCCTCGGGGCAGCAACGGGGAGGAACGCGATGCCCCGGCCGGCACCTGAGCAGCTGGGAAATGCCGCTCGAAGGGCAGAGGAATTTCTCACCACGTCGCATCTCGGATTTCCTCGGGGAGAGGCGGCAGTGGCGGAGCTCCGTCTCCCCAGGAGGCTCCTTGGAGGAGGCGAGGAGGTGCACTGAGCAATTAGCCTCTTTCTGCAAACGAGCCCGACAGTAACGAGGCGGTCGCGGGAGGCTCGTCCCACATCCGCACACCCTGGCAAGACGGGCGAGCTCGGAGGAATCCCCCACACCAGGCTTGGTTAAATAGAGCAAGGCTGATGGCAGCGGGTGAGGGCGAAGCTCTGCTGCGCTTCCACCTGTTCCACCAACCCAAATGACTTCTATAGAAAGATGTGAGATGATAACATTACTGTTATTCATTAGACAAACTGATAACGAGCTCCGGAGCTTTGGAACCCACCCCCCCGCCCACGGCTAATGGGTTGGGGGGGTTTATTGCAGATTCGATTCAAGAAGACGACCCAGTTATATTCCCGAGGGAAATGGTCTGGAAAAGGGAAAAAAAATAAGCTGTGGCATTTCCTAAACACATAAATAAGCCTCTCCAAAGGGATATTGCTTTGACAGCGTAAGCGCTCATCTGGGGAGCTCACAGATGTTCCTCAAACCAGAGCAGCCCAAACCAGAGTTGTTACCTTTTGAGCTGAAGGAAAGCTGTCCAGGGGTCTGCAGACCCCCCAGAAAAAGAGGTTTATGACTGGCGCTAAAGGGGACAGAGAATACACTCACGCTTTTACAACTGGTTTGCCCAATGCTGCCTTGGCGTCCTTACGCTGCTGCCTTACCTTTGGGGGGGTAGGGGATGCTCACAGCCAGGGTGGTCCCACGGCGAGTTCTCCCTCAGTTTAAACAAAAAAAAAAAAACCACAAAAAAACAACACACAAAAAAAAAAAGGAGAAAGAGAGAGGATCTTGCCGTGTCGGGGATGGACGTCGGCTCCCTGCGACCGGAGCGACGCAGGCTGTCAAGCTCACAGCTGAAATGCCACCGCGGGGAGAAGGGCCAGGGCGCTGGGGCTAATTTTAGCCCCCCTCGGGGGTTTTATCTTACCACTTCCATTCTTGGAAAGTTCCCCCCTGGGTAAATATAGAGAGGGGCAGCGAGGTGGGGGGAGGCGGGGACAGGTGCTGGAGGCTGCTCGAGCCACCCCAGCAGACACAGAGAGTTTGCTTCACCATTTCCTTGCGGGAATCGTGGGGTACCAGGCGGGTTTTGTGTCCCCGTGTTCCCTGCCGCAGCACCGGCCTCTACTTTATCTTGGTTGCTGCCAATCACCCAAATAGATTCCCTCTTAACCCCTCTCCTGGCCGCCTTTTCCACTTTCAGAGCCATGAACGGTTCACAACCTCCAGAATTGTTTATTAAACACAAGAAGGCACTGAAGACGGTGCAGATTTCCCACCTGAGCTGCTCCTTACACTTCTAAAACAAACCACTTCTTCGGCTTCATAAAATGAAGCAGCACACAGCAAGGCAGAAAACTTTACAGGGGCAAACAAAAAAAAAAAAAAAAAAGCAGGGAGCAGTGTTTGGGCTGCCTTATCAAGAGCTGTCAGCTGGTAAGTGCAATCGTATTTTATCCAGTTCCCTTTAAACCTTTTCCAAACTTTTCGGTGGTGGAGCAGGAACAGTCTGACAGTTTGAGGCAGCGTTATCAGCAGTACTAGATAACGGGAGGGGAACCAAATTATGCAGCAGAAAAAGCTCCACTGCTGCAGGAAGTAAAATCAGGGGGCTCTGCGAAACGTTTCTGATGCCCTCGCCATCACCACCGCGCTCACAGTTTGTAGTCACACTGTGAGAAGCACGGAGAGCAGGAAAACGTCCAATATTGATAGATTTTTAGTCTTTTGGCTTCCTTACAGCTTCACGCTCTCCAAATTCACTCAAAAATAGATTGTTAATCCAAAAAAGGTCAATTTCCCCAAAGTCAACACTATGAATGGAATTACAGAGGAGAACTGTGGATAAACACTGGAGGAAAAGTGGGAGGTGGGGGTTTATTAGGCATCAAGAAGCTGCAACCACAATGGGGATGCTGCTGTCAGGAAAGCCAAGTCTGGATGGAAACCCCTTCAGCAAGATGGAGAAATAAAAGCAGCAATTAAGATGACAGTGTATTATAAAGGGGAAAAGGGGGATACAGACAACAAAATGAATTCACATTAGAAAATACGAGATGTCGGAGACAGTAAGGGAACCTGGAGATGAAAGGAAAATCCTTGAATGGAAAATTTAATGATAAACTGCATATTCTTTTGTTGTTGTTGCTGGTGCTGTTTAGTTGTTAACCAAGAAGAGAAATCTTAGAAACAAGACCAGCTCTTTGGTAAGGAGCAGAGATTAAACCGAATACTAATGAAGCAAAAAGTATGAAGTACTTTCTGATAAATCCACCCTCAACTGGAAGAATGCAAACTGACAAACTCATCGTGCTCCCTTAACAGCCAAAGAAACGTCTTACATAGCACCCTGCACGAATAGTTAAATCAGCAGATTCCAATAAACCCCAAAAAGGGAGCCCAAGGGGAGGCGGCTGGTGAGTCGGACCCATTTGGGGTAAGCTTCCCGACGCTCCAAACACCGGGGAAGGCGGAGTTGGGAGAAGCCTTCACCTTCTTCCTGAGCTCCAAGCGCGAGCGGGCTGCCCCGACACTGCTCCAGGGAAAGCAACGCCTTTCTCAGCTCTCCTCTACTTGGGGAAGAACGAAAGGGCAGATGGGTATTTAATGCCAGTCAAAGCAGGTTTTTTGGGGAAGGTAAATCCTGTCCAACAAAGTTGCTTCCATTAAAGAGATTATCATTATTAACGCAGCTGAAAAGAGGTAATGAGCTTTCTGATTTAACACCGCTAAGCATCGTGATTTAAAAGTTTAGCGATAAACAGTACCAAATAAATCATTTAGCTGGGATTAAGGATTTACCAAGGATCCTCAAGGTCAGAAATGCACAGTTACAGCGTGGGGCTACTTCTGACTCCTGCCTTTGGACTATCGGTCACGGCCAAACCACAGCAAAGCCTTTGCACTCGGGAGTTGCGCTCCGGGCCGATCAAAACGTCTCCAGCAAAACATTTCTGGCACTTACAGCTGCTTATTCTGCTGGGCACCTTCTCGCCACCCGGCTTGGTTCAGATATTAACCACGAGAGGGTACGAGCACCTGCGGAGCGTCACTCGCCTACACCACACACCCTCACACCAACAGTTCCCAGGTCCCCTTCTTCGGCGCGCCACAATTCAACGTACAAAAGATGTAGTTAGAAACCAAGGAGGAATCCAGCAACCGGATTGCTTCTCCTCCACCAGCTGTAATTCCTCGAGGAATTCCAGCAGCATCCAAGCCCCCCGAAGTTCAGCGGCGTTGCAGGACGGCTCCCTGCTTCCACCACCTTCCAGCAGCCCCTTTCCTTGTCGCGCCGAGGGGGCCAGCGGCTGTAAGCCGCCGCGAGGAGCTGAAAAGCAGAACCCAAAGTCAGCACGTACCCGCTCTTCGTTACGCGAGTTCTGTGCGACCACTAATCACATAAATCTGCCCGTCGGCCCCGGTGTGCTCTTCTAAATGTGCTCCAGGGCTGGCAACACTGCCGGGTTATCCCTGGGGGAACTAAGGGGGTCTCCTCTGCTTTTATTTTACAATACTAAAGTGTGCTGGGTTTCATTCCAAAGCTCTTTGGAGGAAGTAAAACTCAACAATCAGCTGAGTGATGCCACCCCCAAAAGCATCTTTACCCTGAGATCACAATATAGCCAGTAAGTGAAGGGCTTTTTTTGATTATTCAAAACAGCAGGCACTAAGAGCAGCCATGGGAGAATTCTCCAGTAGCAGGCAAGAGCGCACCAACCACCTTTCAGAAACAGAATTTCTGATCTCTGCGAATTGCCGGGTTTACCCCAAACGCCACCTCAAGCCACACACACACTGGATCACTGCGCAACAGAAATCATTGCTTCCAAAACATCACTGCTCATCCCACCTCCCAAAAAAAAAAAAAACCCAACCAAAAACAAGAGAAGGAAAGTATCAAGTTCTAAAA